TATATATATATATATATACACATACACACTTACCTGTCTAGTTTTGTAAATATTGCATCATATTTTCTCTGCTTTTTTTTATATCGCATTTATTATTGAACGTAAAATTGAATGATAAAAACATCGTCGTATTACGTAAAAGTATCTTTTATCAAAGACGAGAGTGCCATATATGATTATTTTTAAAATAGATTTTTCTTAATTGATAATTATATATATAATTTGATATAAAATATAGTTTTCTTAATAATTAAAAAGAATCGCATTTTATATTTTATATTACATACATATGCAATAGTGTATGTATTAGAAAATTAAATGCCTGTGTGAGATTAATAATTTTTTTTTTAGAGAAGACCATAATTTCATATTCATTAACGAATTCATTAGTGAATGTATTTCACAATGTGATGTAGACAATGGTCAATGAGATATTTAATATTTGCACTCAGATAAAAACATTACTACAGTATTCGAACTCATATTTTATTCCTCTAGTCTAGGACTTGTATTCTAATCCAATAAAGTTGGGAATCTTAGAAATTGAATTTGCATTAAAAAAGATCCAAATTGGAAAGATCCAAATTGAGAGCATATCTGAATGCATAAAATATATCATATATCATTGAATGCTGATCGTCTGTATACATCTTTATCGTTATATCCGCTCGAGATAATGCGATCGAGATGGAAACCTGATAATCTGAATGGATTTGTAGAATCAGAGAAGTATCAAGAAATGATAGCGGCGACGGAAAGCCCACCAAAAGGCGGCGGTCCGTTTCGTCTGGATGATGATACCGAATTCCCACCTGTCACGCAAAGGACAGATTGAGCATAACCCATACACAATTAAGGCATATCAAAAGCTCAAGCTAAATGGAAATGAGAAAAGCCATGCGAGAGCAACGAAAGAACGAAAGGGACACAGAGTGCAGAGAACGTCCAGTATTTACAGACGGCTCTATATCCAGTTCAATAGAACCAAAAATTAAAAATCTGTAGGCAATATTACCGAGATTGTTACATTATCTTGTACGCGTTAAAGGTCATAAATGGAATGTGTGCACGCTAAATTAGAAAGAAATCGGATTTTTATATACTAATCCACATATGTCTGTGCAACAGGAAGGAAAGAAGTACCGCTGAGTAACACTCTCGGTCGTATTAATAAGTTGTTGAATTTTTAAGCGGAATTTCTTTTATCATTAATTAAATAGGCATTGCATTTGCAAAAGAAATGCATTATCGCGCGGACAATATAGTAATCCAATGATAATAATCTTTTCAACTACAGGAATTACGCGATGAAGATTTTTTTTGTCAAGTGCACACAGAGAGTGTATAATATATTATAACGCGAAGTATTTCTACATTCTATATATATAATACTTCTGTATTTTATATAGAAGTACTTTATATAGAAAACATGTGTTTTTACTGTGCCTAAGACGGCTCAGGATAATCCAATATCGAAAATGACAGATTAGTATAATTAAATTGTTTTATCTTAACGAACGCCATACTCTTTACGAGCAATAACTGTTATTTATCTGGACTTTTATGCAAATATTTTATTAAAAAATTATTTTAGTTTTAGGAAGAAAAAAAAATTGGAAGTCAGTCTTGGTTTAATAATCAAAATGACTAGGACTTACATATTAAAAGAGTTTTGAAATTATTTTTTATAAAAAACATCGGACTGCATCAAATTCTGGCATCCACGATTAACGCCGACTATTCTTGCTTATTCAATCACGCTTACTATTTATAATGTTTATATTTAAAAATCGATATAAACAAAAAATATCTGCTTCTTATCTCATCATATAAAAATCATACAAACAGCGGGAAGGATTTCGGCTATTTTTAAATACGCTTTTGAGCTTGCGACATAACACATCTGTTTTGTTGCATGTCTCATTGGATTGCTATATTTTATAATGAAATCTTTGTCTTCTTTGTGTTTACAAAAAAAAACTCTTCTTTGGGGATGAAAATGTAAAGATATATAAATATATATGGCAAATTGTCGAACGATGAACTTCAACTGTAATTCTTGTATAAAATGTAAGATCCTTTGATATATGTTAGCTTCTTATAGAAGAATGTAAAACATAATCAAGTTGTATAATTTTGTCAAAAAAATATCAATTTTATAATGATATGATGCTTTGTTGACATTTAAAGTTCAAAAAGTACTTCAGTCTTTACGTGATAGCTATGTTGGGATAATGAAATAACGGCAAATGATAGCAGGGACAAGTATAAAGTATTTATAAAAACGGGAGAAAGGGATTCATTCCATCTTTCCTAAAATTTAAATCATTCTAGACATATTATTTCATTCTAATCAGACAAGACAATTTTGAAAATTACGCATACTGAGAATTCTATCTCGATGAAAATTTTATATCTGTTATCAAACATCATGCTGTATCTTAATGCTTTATCAGATTTATGTATAATATGTAATCGTATCGAATGTGTGCAATAAGCAGTGTCTCTTTGAATGCTTTTTCCGAATCGATTATTTAAAACTGTCATGACATGTAATTTGTATAAATAGTTCATTAGTAAGGAACAAAGAATTTTCGATACATTTGCGTTTTTGTTTAGTGTCGACTTCGTTAGCGGTCGAATTAAAACTGTGAATAAAATCTCTCCATTGATCGGTGCCAATTTACCGAAATAGAAAGATGACATTAGTGCTGAGTGAAGGTATTTTGTTGTTGTATGATGACGATGAGCACAGCTACCGTTTTTTTTTT